AAACAGAGCTCGGTAAATAGTATTATAATTATCAGCTCCGAATCTTAATTATTAATTGCTCTCAATTTGCCTATCGGTTCAATCTTTCTACGGTTTGCATGAATGTGTTCTGAGCATTCAACAAAACTTCCCATAGCATCTAGCAACCCTTCCTTTTCCTCCTCACTTTCTCCCAATCACTCTTCTTGAGTGACCATCCTTTTTTCGTCGATTCTTTTATTCGCTCGATTTTCAAGATGCACTGCTAAAAGTATGACATGAAACAGAATCCGAAACCGAGTTCACCACAATTTTGAGCTTGTCAGTTACAGAAGGGTTAAGCCCTTGTATTGAGGAAATTTCCTGACTCCTTCCGACTGAGGTAATGCAAATCCGGCCCAGCCTGGGTAAAAAAAAAGCAGAAGAGGGGGTTGAGATGCTTCTGTGTTAGCTGTTTCTTTTGAGGGGAGGCTACTGTGAGGAGTTTGATGTCGCGTCAGGTCGTCAGTACCCAGGCTCACGGTGTAGCATGTTTTCGGGTCCATTCCCTTCAAAGTCTCCCAGATTCTCGAGACACCCATCTCCTATATGCTGGCATCGTTCATGTTCGGGGAATTCTTGTACTGGTTGAATAACTGTTGTAAAGCTGACTTGATTAACTCAAACTGGTTTTTCTAGTCAAAACCTCTACAGGGGTGTTCTATATAAGATCCGCTCATTTTCAGAGCTCTCGCCTTACAACTCTTTATCTCCTGTCTTTGGCATCGGAAAGATCCTCGCACCATTCTCTTCAGCCTGGCCACTTAACCTTGGCCAAAGTTTTTGATTCGTCAATGTCAAGCCCTTTCAGTGAAGAGCAAACCGCGCCCAGGAAATAAAAGAAGTGGCCATTTGTCCAGGTGTNCCATCAGTCCTTAGCGATGACCTTGCTAAGATGAAAAACGCTCTCCGAGGTTATACGTTTCGTAAAAATAGCGGTGCACCAAAGCATCACTCACTCATGCCAAAAAGACCGATCTGTCATGGTCCAAGGCGTCCGCTCTGGGAAACATTGCCTCCTACTGGGTGAAAAGGGAAAGGTTGTCCTCGTGTCTGATTTCTTTAGCAAGGGTTATAAACTCTATAGCATAGAGGTTACACGGTAAAGTTGCAGAGAGCCTTTCCAAGAGTGTTTGAAGCCCTAACTGCAAGTGATGAAGAGCCGGAACATTTGGTAAACGTTTATGAGGTTTTTCCTAAGTTATACTCGGGAATGTTGACGTCAGGAAGAGCTCTAGTGGTCTTGTACGAGCTCTTAACACTACTCTTTGGCACTTGAGAAAGACGGCATGTTCATTGGCACATTCGGCATGCGGCATATACCCAACCAGTACAGGGTGAGGAGGTTGAAGAAAACAGTTAAATTAGTCTGTAGGGCTGCTACTGGTCATAATACCTTTGTATGGAAGAAGTAGATGGATACAATTTTTAATGAAAAATTTATTTGAAAGGAGGTTTCTCACCATCCGTTTTCCTTTCCTTCTTCTCTTTGCGAGGAATCCCCTCTTCCTGTCCCTCCTCCGGCGGAATCTCCTGCCCTGGGGAGTGATTCTGCTGCCACTCCAATACCACTATGTTTGGAATGAACCTAAACGATAGATCTCAAAGGATCCTTGAATGGGAGTCCTTTTCTTTCTATCAACTGAGAGGACTTTGAGTTCCGTCAATTTGTGTCAACTTTTTTTGACTGTCGTTTTATTAGCTGATTGTCTTGGCAAAAACCTATAAAACATCTCCATTTGTTCGAGCTAGCTTTTGAAAAACAATCCAAATTGTCATATATTCTTAAAACTGGTAGTTCTTGTAGAGCAGTAATTCGTTTTGAGACCCATAACGCATCTCGTTTGCTCCTCTATTGAGGCCGTTCAACCAAAAACACAGACAAATTATTTCATTCTTACGACCAAAAAATGTCCTTTCGAGAAGAACAACCTTTTCAATTTGCCCGTTGTATAGAGGTAATAGGCCTTCTACTTTGGTACTCTCCGTTTTGGGTAGTTAGCACTGTGGTTCACTGACTCAGTCGTAGTCAACCCCATACATCTTCTGCTCCGTACGTTATCGAAATTAATTGGTGGGAACAGCCTACCGTCAATCACTTTCCTCAATCTCGGGGAACCCCGCCTGTAGAATTTCTGGCGCAGTGTTAGGCACATTCTCGCTTAGCCCAGGGCTCTAAAGCTTTTCTCAAAAATTTCCTATCTTGGTTCTGCCTTTGAGCAGGAATCAGCAAAACCACCAGCCAGCTACCCTCAACCCTACACCATTTCCTCCCCAGAAGTTTTCTTTTTTAGCATGCCCGAGTCACCCTGAGGAAGTGGGAAGCGCTGTCGCTGTCGCTCTAGCATTGAATTATGTAATTCCAAGCCCTACCGTGTGGGTNCCCTCAACCCTACAGCGTTTCTCCCCAGAAGATTTCTTTTTTAGCATGCCCGAGTCACCCTGAGGAAGTGGGAAGCGCTGTCGCTGTCGCTCTAGCATTGAATTATGTAATGCCAAGCCCTACCGTGTGGGTCAGGCTCCAATCCCAAACTGCAACTTTTTTCAAATCAAAACTTTCTATTGCAAACTTTCCTTATCTCCATTTTTCATTTGATGTTTTTTTTCATCTTCAAGCAAAGCACTGTTTTCAGTGTTTTTTCTTAGGCACGATTCCAAATACCTAAAACCAGTTCTTGCAATTTGCAGTTTTCTCTTCGCCGTTTCCCGTCCGGAGAGGAAGCGATGTTGGAAACGGAAAGTGAAGCTGTTGTATGGGGTTCAACACCTATCAACCCTTCAACGCCTTCGTTCTGTATTCAGAGGCATCTTCGGAAAAAGGTTTGAAAAAAATTTTCTGATTTTATTCAAATTCTATCTATGAGTTAATGGCTTCAGAGAACTGTCTCATGGTTTACTGATTCATTTATCCAAACTTTCTGGAAAATCGGATTTGCTTCCGCTCGTCAGACACTCATCCTTCGGAGATCAACCTTACCTGTCGTCCCGTTGATTATCGATTTCGAGCGATCGCCACTAACGTCTCCATTCGTCCCTGTCGCTCACCAATGCAGCTGAGTGGGTCCTCCTCGTTCAAGGGGTACAAAGCACCCACCCACGTGTGGTCTGGTCAGGATCCAACCTGCTTTTTACTCATCCATGGACAACTCAGCTTCCCTTCCCTCCCAGATTGCCTAACGGGTTCCAGACTCGTTTAGGATTATAAAAACACTAACTTGTACATTGGCTGGCCACCGTAAGTCATCGTATATGCCCCATACGCAATCATTAACACAACTACAAAAGAAGGGAGTCGAATACGGGGCGCACTCCAGAAAGGAATCTGATTAACGACACAGTTTCTTTGGTCTGTCCTCGATCCTTTATCTTTTGATTACTTTTATTTGGAAATTCCTCCTAACGCAATGCGAAGCCCAAAGCTCCGGCAATGTCATGTGAAATCCTACACGATACACTCAGAAAATGGTAGTTTCTACGGTTCTATCATCAGGAACATCAATGCTGATGCCTCTGGCAACTTCATTCGCAGTGTATTACCCGAATTACAATTTCAGGCTCTGTGTTTCAATCGTCTCGATTGTAACGTGACCTTCGAACTGGACCGCTGCGCTTTCGTTGCCGGTGAGTGCATATTATTCCAATACTGTTTCTTGAGCATCAAATGTTTCTACCATGGACTTCCAGGGTGATGACCTCATTATATTGACGCGTGAATCGCACCATACCCCCAAAAAATAGTTTCCTTTGCCATTTCGCGCGTTAGCCTTCTCCAAGGAACACATTTTGCTACTTCATAAATCTGATGGTTTCGTATGGAATTATGCAAGAAACTGCCTTCAAAGTCTGCCACTGTAGCTAGTAATCCTCATCCGGTCATGAAACCTGCTCCACTTCCTACTAGTTCTCTCTATGTTTTCTGGACTCTTCCGATTGAAGCCCGCTCAAAGCCTTTAATGATACGCGTTCTAAATGATCGACTGATAGGAAATCAGGATCCGACAGAGTGACGGGATACTACAAAGCGGCTTTGGTCTTATCATGAGATTGCGATAGCAATGCAATCGGAACGGGAACGTGATCCTGGAACAATGAACACCCCCGACATCTTCCTATTCGAATTATCATCCAAAAGTATTGGGGAACATGAGATTTCTTCCAGGGCCAAAAATTTGGGTAGGATTTGAGATGCGAGTAGTTCATGTTTTGCTGAAAGCTCAAAAAAGTGGGTTCCTATGATTTATTTACTTATTTATTTATTTATTTATGCACTCGTAAGTGCGCTTGTAACAGAAACTTCACTAGTTAGATTACATAAACATATTAATTGCTGAAGCAAACACAGATGAAGGTAGATAAAGTAGCATACTGATAGGGCATGGTAGGTTTGAAATAAAACAACAACAATTGTCAACTAGACCACCTAGATGGAAGAACTCTTTGAAATTATTTGATCAATTATAATAAATTTGTTAGAAGTTTGGTTTGAGGCAAAATCTTGCTGAGCATTATTTCCCCATTCTTGGGGAAGCTACATATAATAAAAAACTAAGTTAGACACGGTCACATTTCCTGAAAACCTTCCGCTTTTGCTTTGGCAAGATCTACATAGGTGCAAGGCTTTTTTAGAAGAATGGAACTGATTCGTTGTTAGATCGAAGAACGGCCTAGATAGGGAGCAATAACGGTTAAAAGACAGGGAGGGGTGGTGACCACACCCAGAAACGGGCGTGTTTTACGGCCCCGTACACTTGCACAATCTACGTTGGAGCAAATTTGTTGGTAATGCAAATAGCTGATCGTTCAAGGTGTCTTTTTCGTTAATTGAATCCCATCATATCTTAAAGGTAACAGCAGCCAAAAAATGTTATGGCATGCCGTTCTGATACCCATCAAGATAATGGAAAGCAGTTTTTGGCAGCCAGGAATGCTGTAGCCATTTCTTAACGAGGTTGCGTGTCCTTTTTGCATCGACCGGCAGTTCGTCTAAACACCCCATTGTCGTCGAACCCTTAACACTGATTGAGTACTCCTTAGAAGTCAAACAAAAAACGGCAACCAAAATAGTCGCGAAATAGTCCTTCCAAAATGTAAACGACTGAGATAGAGGGTTCAAAAAGAAAAAAAGAATTAAAAAATAAGAGAGAAAAAAGAAGAAAAAATAAAATAAAAGAGTTTAAAAGTATTGCACATTCCCGCATCATACTAGTACCAGTCAATTGAGTATGAACTTAGTCAACACAGGAAGATTACGAGTGCTTGTATTCAATGAAAATCCACGATTTATTGTTTTCTCCAAAAAGAGAAATTCCATTGTTTAGGGGAACATATCCTCGTAACTGGTCAAGTGGTAAACAATCATGCCACGAGTGTAGTGAAACACGTCTCTATCGAACTGCGTCAGAAGGTCCACTACACCAGCGGCGAAGCGAAGAAGACAGAGTAGGTTCTGCAAATTCCTTTAAAACAAGGATTTCGGGGTAGAAACGTTAGGTTCACTGAATCAGGGAACTTGAAATACTTAGCGGTTGAACGACACTGCAGCTTTCACTGACACAGTCTTTAAAGATATAGGAAGAAAGGGGGTGCGCTTCGTTGCGCGCGTCCGTCGAAACTAGGTCACGTCGCAGCCGTCGCACGCGGCGTGTCAGCTCGCGATCTTTGACAAACGTCGCAGTTGTCAGTGGGGCATACGCATTGCGCTCGGTACACGGCAGTCAGCCAAAGAGAAGATGACACGGAAGAATGCAAATCCTTTGCTCCACTAACACTTGGTGATACTGTAATGTCATCTTGAGAGCTCAGTGGGCTGCGCCGCGCGCGAAGTGGGCAGGGTGACCTACTTTCGACGGACGCGCACAACGGACGTTCTCCGGAAGAAAGGTGCCAAACAGCGTCTATTACAAGGGCGACGCTGTTCCTCCCAGATCGTAACAGGGTGGGGCTAATACTTCCATCCGTTTAGATTCCATGAAGTTGAGGATTAGAGTTAACAAGTTACGGAACTAAGAATTAAAGGTAAAAACAACGAAGCTTATGAGAAAGTGAGTGAAGGTGAGTAAAGAACGACTAGCTCATACTTCTACGGAATTCCCTTTTGAATAGCTTATCTTACCAGCAGGACGAAGTACGTTTGCCGATCTTGCTTCATACCATAGCGCCCTTCAAATATATAGTGATGAAATACCGCTAAAATTCGGTCTGTACGTGTGCATGGCTGATCCTGCACCTGTTGATGATAGCCTAAATGAATTAGTCAGTTGGAACAATTCGAAAGCTAGCGTTGATTAGCTTTCTGTCCTTTCAGTACACGTCTTATAACCCGCCTTGTGTGTGGATCTGTAGCTCCAGCTAACGTACTGCCACTTCATCATTCCATTCAAATTCCATATGACTGCTATCCTTCGTTAGAGAGGCGGTCGATCAATATTCAGGTACTAGGATCATCTTATAATCATCCAATATCACAAACTTTTATCAATTTGTAGGTCTCCTACGTCTTGCTGCTCACTTCGTTAGGTAACTTCACGGTTGAAGCTCCAATCGTAATTGGAACGCGTGCTGCATGTCCTTCACCGTTGAGTATCACTTCTGGCGATAAGAGTAGTAGTGTTTACTACTGTACGCCACCATCCGAACATGACAGTGCCAATGATGGACCTCCACCATACAGTACTCATCCACAGGTTTGCTATTTGATTTGGCGCTTTGCTTTCAAGTAATCCATTAGCTAGAGACTTGAAGGCACAGTTCACGATAATTTTGGGTAATCCAGATTATGACGAAAACTTGAAGACAAGATCGAAAATAGTGCGATGAAGGTGGAGAAACTGCGTGAA